CTTTAATTATGTAGTATGTCATCTTGGCTTTTTTATAGCCTGGAACAGTTATTTCAAGCCCAATGACAAACAGAAAAATGATTTTAACGTTGATAGTGAATAAAATTAAACAAGAGCATTGAGATCTTTTCATCAAAAGTGTGAACTGGAAACTAACACTGGTTCCTCTTAACTCTTTCTGAGTCCAAGGTAAGTGAAATTCCTGGAGAAAGGGAAGGCAAGTTTTAAAGAGGATCTACACTGTCATTGTCTGCTGTGAGCTACTCCAGAGAAGCCTTTATGAACTGTTTCTAGTGTGGCATAGGGACTTGGACCTTCCCCACCCTGACAGCTGGGCTGCAAAGTGAATAAAGTTTTTGGAAGACCAAGGTTAAATGTTATCAATCCTTCATCTACCTCGTTTTCTGCAGGTATGTCCCTTTATTATATTGTAAGTATTATTATACAGTCTTTATTATCCATTTCTTTATTTGCCAAGATGCATTGCTGCCTTTTTGCTGGATCCAGCTAAACTAACCAAAGTGGCAGTTTACATTTTAGGCTGAAGCTAGTGCCAGAATTTCTCAAGCAACTGCCTATAAACTGAAGTTTGATTTGAAGCTGCCCAGTTTTGCTTCTAGGAAGTCTCAAGCCTACTGCTAATCAGATTTTGATATCTGAACTTTCTTATATACGAGGAGAAATGGGGAAGAAAACAAACTTTCTAAGTGAAATCGCTATTTGTGACAGTAACCTGTAAGGAAAAGGTCTTTCCTAAATCAGGTGGGAAGAAGTGCATTATGTTAAGTGTCTTTGTGGAATACCCTTGGCTGGTGTAAACGGGTTACATCCATCCACACCCTCACCCAACTCTTGGGTTTTGTTCAAGTCCAAGTTGAATTATTGTGAGTCCTTGTTACTGAAGTGTGGAACTAATTTTTGCAGGTGCAGTGTTCACCATAAATAGCCTTCAACAGAAAGAAACATCTTGTATTTCACATGTGAATGACAGCTATTTCCTTCCACAGCCTAGGTGTCTTTTGTGATCTTTCACCATCAGGATGCTGTGCAGGGCAGTGATTTATACAGGTTCCCACTCTTCTTTCTTTTAGCTCCTATTGCCATTCCATCTCTGAAGAATATAATGCCACAAAGCCTTCAGTAAAACCAGAGCCTGGAGGAAATATCAGGTGTTAACATCTAATAAAAAACTAACACGCTTGAATGAACCAGGATTGCAAAGTACCTCTTGTAGGGCCCAAGCAAGGACTGACCTAAGGCAGAGGTTTTATGATGGTGGCAGGTAAGGACTAATTATAGACCCTGGACTCCATCATGAACTGACTTGTCAAGTTAACTTAGTGACTGAAGTACCTACAATTACATTGTGGGGCTTTCTACTCCTTTGTGTAACTGAATGCAGTTGCTCCTGAAGAAATGGAGCGAGTAAATCTGAGGTGCTGAAAGAAATATTGCACTAGGAATTACACTGTAGGGGGAGCGCTTTATATGCTTTAGGGTAAATTAATGACCAGGTTTGGGGGTTTAGGAAAAAAAATAACACAACAAACTTTGTGCACAAATACATACTTTAAACTATATTTTCTTTCAAATGCCAACTCTTTTAACAACAGTGTAAATCAGATTTTACAGACCATGTATTTCAAGTCTGAAGTTCATTAAATGTGTGAAATTCCAGATTAGCTGCCGGGTGTGGCCAGAGACCCAGTAATGAACTGTAAATTGTGTTCAGGATATAATATCAGATTCCCTTGCCCAGGCAGTGATATTAAAGGGATAAAACCACCTTTTCAAAACATAACCTTTCTTTATTATCTTTATTTAGATTTGCCACCATATGATGTAGTTAGTGAGTGACTGCATCAGTGTTTCCATCCGGAACCTAATGTACAGGTGTCCAACTGGATTAGTTTGTGGGTTTATTATTAATAAACCATCTTATGTCCTAATATAACTGAAACAAATGCTACCTACTTATACATGCATTTTTGCCAGTGCCATGATAGTAGGTGATAGTCTGCCTTCAGATGCAATATCACTCTAAACTGCAATTCACTCTGAACTTCTGTGAAATAACCACTTTGCTGTATTCTCCAGCTGAGTCAGGAGTCAGTAGGTGTGGGCATTTGAGTCCAGTGATGGGTTTCATAGCTGTCTTCTTGGTCCAGGTTTGCAAAGTGCTTCCTGAACAAGCTTTCAACCAGCCGTCAATGCTTTCCCTTTCCAAAAGCTTTGCAAACACCTCCCCCCCACCAGCCACCCCACCCCCCCAAGAAGTGGTTGCTGCTGTGTGGAGGAAGGTCCATGATGAGAACTGGGAAGCTGCTGGCGTGTGGACATGTACCCAGGGGCTGTTGAACCCATCCCCTAAAAGGAACAGCCAGGGAAAATTGCTCATAACCACCAACAGTCAGAAGGATCTCTGTAAATTTCAACCTTGGTTCTCTACAGTAACTCCTTGGAAGGGGAAGGTGAGTTGAATAGCTGGGAATAAGAGTTAATGATGCTATTCTATTCCACAAACTCTCCGTGAGCTGGGAGCAATGTGCAAAAGTGACCAGCTCTTTCCTTGTACTGTTGTAACAACTAAAATTTCGGGGACAGTTGTACCCAGCTTCCCAGAACAGAGCAGGCCAGAAAGGATTCCTGGTGCTTATCTGCCCTGGGAAGGGCACTGGAGGGAGCAGCTTGAGGGCTGCTGTAGGCTGAGCTGACTGCACCACCAGGTATTGACCAGCAAGTCTAGTCTCTTCTCCTTTTTTTTCCTGTGCTAAGCAAAGGAAGTGAGCTTCATCAGCCATTTATAATCCCGATATGAATATGGGAATTTCCCAGGTAGCAACTTTTTATGGGGCTAAACCCCCAGTATTAAGAAGAAGAATTGGCACTTCTCATGCATGGTTATTTGTTGGTGATCTCTTCCCCAAGTGTGGCCTGGTGACTGCACTTAACTGTCGCCTAAGCTCTACAGCACAGAGGTAAATGGACACATGCTGTTTCCTTGCCTTGGCCACATGGGGAAGCACCTCTCCAACTCCCAGTGTGACTAATTGTTCCTAATTATTTGAGTAAGTAATTGCTCTATTTGACTTACTTCTTCTTTCTGAACCGTATCTTAAAATCTTGGATAATGAAATAAAAAACCCCAAACACATATGGGTTTACAATCGAGAAAATATCTTTGGCAAGAAACTAACTGGAGTATGTAGCACTGTCCCACAGACAGTAAATTATCCTAGAATGGGTAGGATTAGAAGGGGCCTTAAAGCTCATCCAGTTCCAACGCCCTGCCACAGGCAGGGACACCTTCCACTAGACCAAGTTGCTCCAAAGCCCATCCAACCTGGCTTTGAACACTGGCAGGGATGGGGCAGCCATAGCTTCTCTCTGCCAGTCCCTCTGTCACTTTAAAGCCGTTTCGTTTGTGCCCTTGTCAAAAGTCCCTCTTCATTCCCCTTTTCCCTGTGATTATGGGGAATACACGTAAATGTACAGGTTTTCAGCTCGGATGCTCGGGTTTGCCTTCTGCCTGGAATCCTCGTTTTCCCTCTCGTGCGAATGAATTTACAAGCCTCTAAAATTCCCGATCCGAGAATCAGCGCGGCTCCTGGCGCAACGACGGGGCCAGGGCAGAGCGGAGCGGTGTGAAGGTGCCGGAGGTGGGTGTCGCGGCGGAGGCAGGGTCGGGATGTAGAGGGGCCAGAGGATGCGCGGGGCCAGGACCGGTCGGGATGCGGCGTACCCTGGGCAGGTGGAGCCGCTTGGCTTTTCCCTGGATAAACCCCAACCTGGTCGGGTTTCTCAGGTGGCTGAGGCTCCGAACAGGTTTTCCTCCAGCCGCAGGTGCAGCCCCGGTAACCCTTTCACACATAACACGACATGAGGGTGTCAGAATTTCCATATACGAGTGGTGATGAACTTGGGAATGCTCTTCACTGCCGGCAGTGCCCCAGGTTCCTGCAATAGGTAAACCGGGAAACTGCAGCCCAGGATGGTATCATATCATCCCAGCTGAATTAATTACATCCCCTAGTCCCATATCAGGACTCTAATTCAGGAGCTGCCTTACTGAAAACAGTGAGAGTGGGGTCCTATTGTTCTGTGAGCGAGCTGAAATACGTTTATTTTTTCCTTTACAGGAAGTTTTCGAGGGGATAGGGACGAGAAGGAATGTTCTCTGCACTTTCTTCAGTATCTTTTTATATTTGTAGTTTTGTTTTCTGAGGTTGCCTTTGTTGAGGTAAAGGTAAAATTAAAAAAAAACCAAATTGCTCTTCAATTACAAAAAAAAAAAAAACCTTTTAAGGTTCACAAAGAGAATCCGTTTTTAAAAGCCCGTTCTTAGGGAAAAAAAAAAAAATGAAAAAGAAAGGGGGGGAAAAACCCAACAAAACCACCCAGCAAACACACAACCAAACAAACTTCAGCAGCAAAATTACTTTAACTAAAAAAAACAGTCTTTATTGAGTTTTGTTGGGGAGGGAGGGAAGGGAAAAAAAAAAACAAAACAAAAAAAAAACCCAAAAAACCAAAACCTCCACAACAACCCAAAAGAAAATTTCGACCAATTTTCATTGTAGATGAAAAGCTATTTCTCATTTGGAAAAAATGTTTTGATGGGAAAAATTCAAGCAGTCCCATTTCCAATCTCGGCGAGCTCTATGTGGGTGGATTTCCCTGGCCACGTGGAGCTCATTACAAGATCAGACACTCCGTTTGTAACTTAATTAGGGGAGTGAATATGTTATTTAGACAAGTGCATCCTCAGAACTAAGCCTGGGTTGGTGACATGGAGTCGGGATGCTCCAGGACTGTTCATGGGATGGAGGGAGGTGCCGGCTCGCGGGACTCCAGGAGGCCGAGCTGCAGCTGGGGAGGGATTTGGTCCTTGCTGGGTTCCGGTCGGGAGTTCTGTGGATGTATAAGTGCAGCCGGGTGTGTAAACTTGGTGTCTGAGCACCGATCTGCTCAACGGCTTTAACGCGCCGAGGAGTGCACTGTACGCGCTGGCAGACTGGGGGAGAACAGTATTTACTTTGGAAGGGTGAGGAGCTTTTGTCAGAGCTACTTATTGTTACTGTGAGTCTGAAATACCTTTTGCAAGTGGAAAACAGAGATGTCTCCATGAAGTCTATGATGATAAACCCCGCCAGCTGCCCCCGTGGCCTGAGAGCACATCCTCAGGAAGCCTCGATGCCTTATCTCCTGGAGACCATGAGAAATTAAAAGTAGTATTTAAAATCAGGTTTATTGCCAGTTGACAGCGCGGGGCCTCCCGCGCTGCAATCGTTCTCCAGCGGGAGGGGGAGCAGTCCTACCCGGCGGAGGGGCGATGCTGCGAGGGAAGCCGGCACCCCCTGAGCTGGATCCCCGGGCTCTTCCCGGAGGCCCCGTTGTCACTGGCCGACCGGAGCTCTTGTACCCCGGGAAGGGAGCCCTTTGCCTGGAGCCCGGCGCTGGGGACGGGCTAAGCTGCTCCTGAGGACAAGGCCGGTCTCCAAAACTTCGCCGGGCAGGGCCGGGCCATGCGCCCCCTCCTCTGTCCCCGAAATCTGGGCACCTCACTGGCAGATACCTGAGGGTGCCGTGGGCATAGAGGTGAGAGGTGGGTCCGTGTTAGGGGGCAGGGATGCGGTCCAGAATGTGCCCCTGAAAGGAAGAGGAAGTATTCTCCTAAAGAGGGAATAAATAGCTAAAAATATTAGCTATTAATAGCTCCGTACCTCCAAAAATAAAATCCCTTAGTGATACCAAAATAAGAAAGCAAAGGAAAGTCGGAGGTATTTGGCCTTCCTTTGAAAAAGGACGCTAAAAATAACTATATATATATAAAAATCTCTCGTTTCTAGGGAAAGTCTCTGCCCCCGCATCCAGCCTGCACAGTTATATAAGACTTGAACCGCATCCCCCGCTCCTCCGCGGCCGCTCACAACGCGCTGGGGGCCGGAGCCAGATGGAGGAAGGTTCCGTCAGGAAAGTTTAACTCAGCGGGGAAGCTGCAGCCAGTGGAGGACACGATTCTCTCGCTGAACTCTCCAAAAGCCTTGGAAATCTTACAGTTGTGTCATATGCTGGTTTGGGGAATGCGAACAGTCCGGAGGCAGCCGCCAGCCCTCTTTCACTTCTTTATTTATTTTTTTTCTCTTCGCTTTGCACTGAGTTTAATTTGGGTAGCAGGATTCAGCATTTTTAAGTTGGAAAAATCTTGGTGGAAGAAGATATTTTAGGAAAACCCTGTCATGTGAACTAGCGGGAGCCGATCAAACCGAGCTATTAAAAGAAAGATACTGTATTTTTAAACGGTCCAGACTAGGGCAGCCAACCCGTGTGCCATAACCACCGAGCTGGGGCTGCTCCCCCGGCCGTGGGAGGAGGCGAAGCTTTCCGTCGGGGTCGCCCATTCTCCACTCGCTCGGGGATGCCCTTTGGCAGGGCCCCGTGCCTTGGGGTCCCCCAAGTCGTGTGTGTGTGTGTCCCTCCCCTGCACCTAGCTGCTCACCATAAGCCCCCAGTTCCCAGCTCCGCTTTGGTGCACCCCCTCCTCTAAACCTCTTCCCCAGTTCTTCCTCTCTGCATCTCTCAATGCGATTGGTGCTGGGGTGACCAGGTAGTGCCCCAGTGAGGATGTTGGGCGGTGGAGCTGGAAGTCGAGCGAGATTACTAATTGCTCTCTCATGATTAATTAACAATTCCTTTGCTCTGCAAGCAAAGCAGCAACCTTGATTTCCCTTTAATGATTCTAAATAGAAATCAGTTGGTTCTGACTTCATTTCACCTGATGCCAATAGTGGGTGCAATCAAGCACCCCAATTAGCCTGGACGGGATAGTGCTCCAGGTGAGCTGCTGGGCTCCATCCCTTTTGGGGCCGAGGTTTTTTTTGCATGATCTCTCATACAGGTTGTAGCTTCAAAGCGCCTCATGATGAGAGCTGTTACAGGGTGAAGCCCCGGGTTGGGGGTCGATGTCATGTGCAGCGCTTCGGCGCTTCGCTGCTCTCCTGCGGCTCGGGAAGGCCCCCCCCCTCCAGCACCCCGCGGGGCGATGCTCTCAAGCGGCATCTCTGCTGGGGATGCGGGGGGCGGTGCTCAGCCTGCACGGTGGCCGGGAGGAACCGGCTCCCACCGAGCGCCGGCGGAGGGATGCTCCGTGCCGGGGGTTGGGGGGGGCTGCGGGATTCCCGGGAGGGGCTTCGGGGGGCCGCTGGAGGTCGGTTGCATAATGGGCCCACGGAAGGTATTTCCGCCTCGGCACGTCCAAAAATGACAAGGGTTAGGAAAGTGAGGTGCGCTGTTTCCCTGGCCTGCCTGCAGTTGCTAGCCTGCAGCACAACAAACTCGAGAAGCAGAAAGTTTGATTGCGATACCTCCTTCGAGTCGATTTTGGGACTCAGGGAGTGAAAAATGGAAACGCCGGTGCGGGTGCCAGCCAGCCCTCCGCGCCGGGCCGGCCAAGTCCCGCCGCCGTGACTCACCCCGCTGCTGCCCGGGGCTCCTGCTGACCCCGGGGCCGCCGCCTTTGGGGGTGCAGAGCGGTCCCCAGGGGCCGCGGGACTGCGGCACCCCCGTGTTTTCTACACGTGAATTCCTCACCTCTCTGCAATAACTGCGTGCAAGCTCCATCGCATGGAGGTGCTGAGCCCAGCGCGGCATCACTGGCACGCTGGTATAGCTATACATTGCAAGGCAGCACACGGTTCATGACATCTCCGACTTTATTTTCCTGTTTTCTTTTGCTTTATTTTCCTGTTTATACATAGGACGTGTAAACACACGCGGGTTGTCTTGGTTTCGGAGGCTTCCTTGGCTATTTCATTCTTGCTAAGCTCCACGTGTATCAATGGAAATCCATGGGGTTGCTCCTCTCTCTTCTAAATGGATCTAAAAATAGAAACAGAGAGAGGTCTGTGAAATGCCACTAAACAAATTAACCGATTTTTTTTTCTCTCTTTCTTTTCGTCTTCTGTATGAAGAACCGAGCCAGTGGCAATTAGAAGCCAAAACCTCTGCCAGTAACAAGATGGGTATTAATAGGGTGCTGGCGATTTTAAAAGACATAAATATAAGCTGGGGACTTCGGTTTTCTGAATGATTTATTCAAAGGTAAAGGCAGCAGCAGCCCGAGCTTGTCTCTACTGGGAAGAAGGAAAACTTCTGCACAGAAGCCCCGTTGCTTTGAAAGGCTTTGCAGTTCCTGCAAGTTTTGTTTAAAAAGCACACACTGGGATTTTTAACATCATCCATATTTCTTTCTTTCTTGCTGTCTAACTTTCTGCTCAACAATTAAGTGCTTGTGCTGCAGACTGAGAAAGCCGCAGAGCTGCCTTGGCCCGGAGCTGGGAGACGTCATGGATTCCTGAGTGTGAAGTTTGCAGGAAAGCCCTCAGTTTGGGATATGGAGGCGATCCAGGGGTTTCCATGGCACTGGGATAAACAGGAGGAAACAGTGAGGGAATCCCGTTATTTTACAGCATTCAAAGACTATAAACACTCGGAGCAGGGAAGGAAGTGGCCTTTCCCTCTCTAGTAACCCTCATCTCAGAGCAGAGAACTGACTTCACTTCAGGAACAAGCTCAGCCCAGTTCGGATCCCTCTTTGCACCTCCAAACACTTACGGAGGGGCGAGCAAGAGGGGTTCCCTCTGTCCGGGCGGCACTGGTTGAACATGGTTTAAAGAAGAGTTTTTTGTTCCTTTTTTTTTTTTCCTGCTACTGATTTTTTTTTTAAATATATATATATATTTTAAATTCCTGATGCAGAGAGAAGCTGCCTGCAGGCTGGTACACTACCACCACATCATGAGGTCTATGGATCAAGGTAGGGTCTTCCTCCCGCGCTGTGTGTCTGTGTGCGTATCCCCCGTGCACTCCTCTGCTCCGGGGGTCTCTCTGGGTCGCTCCCTGGGTTATCCCGCCGGCTTCCCGGGGAGGCGGAAAACGTTCATGCCGAGAAAGTCCCTCGGGAAGGGACGGGCTTTAGGCTTGGTTTTGAACTGCTCCGCGACGGCGGGAACAAATCCGCCTGGAGAAACCTTTGAACTCCAGCTAGAGGGACTATCCTCTTCCACGCCGTCACCCCGGGGTCTCGCTGACCCACAGTTTAACCCTTCCGCCGCCCGCCTGGGTGGGGGGCTCGGAGCGTTGCAGGCGGCTTCCCCGGCCGGGCCCGGCGGCTCTGCGGCCCCGCTGGGCTGAGGCCGGCGGCTCCGCGGCTGAGCTACCCGCGGGGATACGGAGGCTCCCGCCTAGGCCGGCACCGTCGCAGGGGGTACGGGCAAGGCAAACCGTGGAGGGCTGGGGGGGGCTCGCTCCCCTCCCGCCGCGGTGTGCTGGTGCCGGCAAGAGTTAAGCGCGGCGAGAGGAGGAGTCTGCCCCGCTGTCAGCGCTCGGTGCGCGCCTCCGGCGCCCCGCTCCGAGGGTCCGCTCCGACCCAAACCACCCCCCGCCTCTGCAGCGGAGATCTCCCCGCTGCCAGCCCGGCCCCACCGAGGCGGAGGGCAGCCGTCTAGGAGGGGCCGCGGCATCCCCCGTCCTCCCTAGCCGCTGCGAGGGAGGCTGCGGGCCCCAGGGGAGGGCGCGGCGCCGGGAGCGGCCTCGCGTGGGGACGCGGAGGGGCTGCAGGCACGGCAGTGACTGTGCAAGACCTCTGAACGGAGCCGGGGGAAGGGGCATCCCCCGGGAGATGCTGGCAGACAGGGCTGGGAGCTCCGGGCGCAGCCGTGCCTGGAGCTCCCGGGGTCGGTGTGGCCGCCAGCGGTGGGTCCTAGCGGAGGATGCTCCGCGGGAGGAACCCCCCTCGCCGCCCGCAGCCCGGCGCTTGTAAAGCACCCGTGGACCAACGAGCCCGGCTGGTCCCACCGGGCCCTGCCCGCTGCCCCAGGGTGCCCGGCGCTGCTCCCCGCGGGCCGGGCGGGAGCCGCAGGTGAGTTGCGAGTTTGACAGGGCTACCGGTGCGGGGGGCAGGAGGAGGAGCCGGGAAGCGCTTTTGCATCGACTCGCTCCATCTCAGAGTTCGCCCCCCCGCCCTCCGGCCGCCCGCCGCCAGCGCTGGCCCCGCCGCTGAGTCAGAACCGCCCCGGGGCCGGCGGAGGGGGGGAGCGGACTGGGGGGCGAGTATCCTCAGGGCTCCGTCTGACCGGCCGGCCCTTCGTAGCGGCTGTTTGTTTTCTCCCACCGTAGCAGGCTCCCCAGGCACCTGCCAAAACACACTCGTTAACACGCACACCCGGAGCGGATCACCCGAGAGCTCCGGTTCTAGGACAAGCCAATGGAAAGGCTCTGAGCGGCTTTATACCGCCTCAGGATCAGGCCATTGCTGTGCCTCGTCTATCGCGGCTTCCTCCAGACAGAACTCCCTCTCTCCTGAGCACTTCAGCTGCTTTTAGTCACTCTCATAACACTCCGGAGAAGTTATTTTTCTGCAGAGAAAGCAGGAAAGGGAGAGATAGGAGATTTCTTTCTCAGTGCTGGCAAGGTCCCACTCTCACCTGCTGTAGGACAGCGGTGGATCAAAGCACAAGGCAGTGCTCCAGTGCCAGCTGCCACAACTCCTTTGATTGCTCTGCAGCTCTGCTTTCCCCAGAGCTGTGCAATCACACACCAGAGTGAAAGGCACTGATTTATTTTCTTTTCAGATCCAGTGTTGGAGACCACAGTAGCCAGATGAGCAGGGCAGTCAGCTGCACAGCAGAACCCAGAGATGCTTCACAAAGAATAAGTTCCTGGGCCCCAGCATGCCTTTGTCCCTTACATGAAATATGTGCATCTGTCAGTGGTATAGGGGGAATGGGAGCAGACCCTGGCACCAACTCGGCATGAAGCTGTCAGGAGTTAATAACACCTGGCTTTGGGAGGATTTCTGAACCTTTGTACAACCAAAGTGCAGGAGTCTCATTAATGTAGGGTGTGGAAATGACGTGTTAATAATTTTAGGTCCTACCCCCCTTTTATGGTTAGAGCAGGCTCAGAATGTGGAGGGAAGACTTTGCATAGCCTAACACCCTGCTAGCAAAACGATGCTTCAGTAGCTTTGCTCCCTGAGCTGTGCTTCTGCAGGTTCCTGCAAGACAAGCCAAGGCAGAGATTTTCATCGGGTCTTTCCCATCAGAGATTTTCATGAGTCCCTGTGTCATCTTATTGTTGCACATCTGTTACTGCTCTGTTACTTGAGGTAGCCCCTCTCTCTCTCTGAGCCCCCCCTGTCACACCAGATGACAGTCAGCAAATGATTTCAGAGCCTTTTGTACAGGGCAGGAATTGCATTCACAGATGGGATGGTGACATAATTGGAGCACTCTTCCATT